TTAGTTGTAGCCTCAGTTGTTGAAAACATTTTTTACCCATTTTATTACGTTTGTTCCCTTGTCAAAGATCAGCTGACCATATGCCCTAACTTCATTTCTACTGCTTTGATAAAATCCCCTGACCAAAAAAAAACAACATAGGGAGAAAAAAAGGCTTATTTTAGTCTTTGTTTTTTTCTTTTTTCTTTTTTTATTGTTTTAAATTTATTTTTATTTTTTTTATGTATGTGCCAGTGACCACTATCAACTCCAGTCATCGAGGCAAGCTCTATTGGTGTTAGCAAAAATCCTGCCACGCATTCAATGTAGCACACCTCCCCTATTTTAGTCTTACTTCTAGGTTCTAGTCCATCATAGTGAGAAATCAAGACAACAGAAACTTAAAGCTGGTCACATCACATCCACACTCAAGAGCAGAGAGAAATGAATGAATGCATGCTTACTACTGTTCAGTCCACTTTCTCTGCTCTTACATGGTCTAGGACTCAAACCTAAGGAATGCTATTGCCTAAAGTGGGCTGGGTCTTCCCATGCCAACTAATGCAGTTAAGACAATCACTCACAGAAATGTCCAAAGGCCAATCCCTCATTGAGATTATCCAAGTGATTGTGGATTGCATCAGGTGGACAATTTAACCACCACGCACCACATATATGTAGGTTTATTATTGGGCTCTCCATGTTCCATTGATCCACTGTATTTATATGTTCTTTTGCCAATGTCACATACTCTTGATTACTAAAATTTTATAGTACTTCTTTGTAGTTGTTTTGGTTTGGTATTTTTGGATTCAGGGTTTCTCTGTGTAGCCCTGGCTGTCCTAGAATTCTCTCTGTAGACCTGGCTAGCCTCGAACTCAGAGACCGCCTACCTCTGTCTCCTAAGTGCTGGGATTAAAGGCATGTGCCACCAATGGCTGGCTATACTATGTTTTTAAAAGGATTTATTTATATGCATGTGGATGATGTCTCTCTGTGACTATGTGTATGTGTGTGCAGGTATGCACAGAAACGCCTCAGTCTCAGTGGTCTGTGGTCATTCCTGGGAGAGACTGTCTCAATCAGTGATTGACATTGGAGGTTGGAACTCCCAGAGGACCGTGAGCAACCCTGTCCCTGGGTGAGTGGGCCTGGGCTGTATCAGTGATCCTCATCCCTCTGTGACACTCAACCTGGAAGTGTAAACTAAACAAATCATTTCCTCCTGAAGTTGCTCTTGGTAAGAATGTTTTATCAAAAAGCAAACTGGGACACTGTGCAAGCATGAGGGTCAGTCTCCAGAGCCCGCATAAGACTCGTTGAGGGTTGGTGCCCTCGACACACGCTTGCTTGTCTTGCCTCTCCTCGGGTGGGACTGGGTGGTTAAAGGGTGTTTGAGTTTAATGCTTATTTCTCCAAGGTAGATTAGACTCTGGCTAATTAATTTCTCCTGATGCTAAGCCTTGTTCGGAACAATAAAATGATCTGATGGGTTTTGAAACAGATCTCCCTATCACCTGTGGTAACAAAAAGATCCCCTCACACTATTTGTTTCATGGACAGGACAGAATTTCTGAAGGTACAAACTTATAGAAGTCTATACCTTTGCTGCCCATGTCCTTCCCTGAGTGAAGTGGTGTGCTAGTGTGTGTGGGTCGACGTATGTGTGGAGGCCAAAGGTTGATGTTAGTCATCTTCCTTAGTTACTTTCCACCTTGTTTCTTTAAACTATGTCTATGTCTGTGTGAGAGTATGTATACCTATGCCTGGGTATAAAAGCAAGATGGAAGAAATTAGAGAAATATCACCCTTTACAATAGCCACAAAGAGCACAAAATATCTTGCAGTAATGGCAATCAAACAAGTGAAAGACCTGTACAGTAATAACTTTGAGACCTTAAAGAAAGAAATTAAAGAAGACACCAGAAAATTGAAAGATCTTCCATGCTCTTGGATAGGTATGATCAATGTAGTAAAAATGGCCATCTTGCCAAAGCAATTTACAGATTCAGTGCAATCCCCATCAAAAATACCAATGCAATTCTTCACAGATCTTGAAAGAACTATACTCAACTTTATATGGAAAAACAAAAAACCTAGTATAGCCACAACCCTATACAATAAAGGAACTTCCAGAGACATCACCATCCCTAACTTTAAGCTCTATTATAGAGCCATAGTCCTGAAAACAGCTTGGAATTGGCACAAAAACAGACAAGTAGACCAATGGAATGGAATTGAACATCCTGATATTAACCCCCACACCTGGTTTTTGGCAAAGAAGCTAAAGTTATACAACGGAAAAAAGAAAGCATCTTCAACAAATGCTGCTGTCATAACTGGATGCTGGCATGTAGAAGACAGCAGATAGATCCATGTCTATTGTCATACACAAAACTTAAGTCCAAATGGATCAAAGACCTCAACATAAATCCAGCCACACTGAAACTCTTAGAAGAGAAAGTAGGTGGTACCCTCGAATGAATTGGTACAGGAGACTGCTTCCTGAACATAACACCAGTAGCACAGACACTGAGATTGACAATTAATAAATGGGACCTCCTGAAACTGAGAAGCTTCTGTAAGGCAAAGGACACAGTCAGCAAGACAAAACGGTAGCCCACAGAATGGGAAAAGATCTTCTCCAACCCCATATCTGATAGAGGGCTGGTTTCCAAAATATACAATGAACTCAAGAAGCTAGCCACCAAAACACCAAATAATCTAATTAAAAAGTGTGGTAGAGAACTAAATAGAGAATTCTCAATAGAGGAATCTAAAATGGCTGAAAGACACATAAGAAAGTGCTCAATATCCTTAGCCATTAGGGAAATGCAAATCAAAACAACTCTGGGATATCATCTTACACAGGCCAGAATGGCTAAAATCAAAAACACCAATGATAGTCTATGCTGGAGAGGATGTGGAGAAAGAGGAACACTCCTCCATTGCTGGTGGGAGTACAAACTTGTACGACCACTCTGGAAATCAGTATGGCAGTTTCTCAGGAAAATGGGAGTCTACCTCAAGATCCCACAATTCCTCTCCTGGGCATATACCCAAAGAATGCACATTCATACAACAAGGACATCTGTTCAACTATGTTTGTAGCAGCATTGCTTGTAATAGCCAGAATCTGGCAACAACCTAGATGCCCTTCACCTGAAGAATGGCTAGAGAAAATATGGTACATTTACACAATGGAGTACTACTACTCAGCAGAAAAAAACAATTGAATCTTGAAATTCTCAGGCAAATGGATGGAACTAGAAGAAACCATCCTGAGTGAGGTAACCCAGTCACAAAAAGACAAACATGGTATGTACTCACTCATATATGCTTTTTAGGCATAGAGAAAAGGATTACCAGATTATAATCCACACCACCAGAAGTTCTAGAAAACAAGGAGGACCCCAAGAGAAAAACTCATGGTCTCCTGAAGAAGGGAAGGGAGACAAGAACCCCTGAGCAAATTGGGAGCACAGGGACAGGAGGAGAGACATGGAAAGAAGAGAAGGGGAGGAAGGGGAAGGAGAACAGGAGGACTGAGATGGGAGGAATAGAAGAGGACAAGAAAGGAGATGCCTTGATAGAGGGAGCCAGTACAGGTTTGGAGGAAATGGTAGGGGATCCACAGGGATAACCCCAACTAAGAATCTAAGCAGTGGTAGAGAGGCTGCCTTTGATGCCCTTCCCCTATAATGACATTGATGACTACCTTGGTTACCATTCCTAGAGCCTTGACTCAGTAGCTGATCAAAGCAGAAACAGGCACCCATAGCTATGCACTGAGCCATACTCCCGGAATCCAGTTATGGAGAGGGAGGAGAGATGAGCAAATGAACCAAAACAGAGATACTCTCAGAAACAGTTGACCTGACCTAATGAGAGCACGGAGACCCTAGTTGTAAAGCAGGGGAACCAGCATTGGACCAAAGCAAGCATTCTGAATGTGGGTACCAGATAGGAGGCCAAGGCAGTCTATGGAACCTCTAACAGTGGAGCCAGGGTTTGTTCCTAGGTCACAAATGGACTTTGGGAGCCCATTCCCTATGGAGGGATACTATTGCAGTCCAGATATGGAAGTGAGGGCCTGGGTCCTCCCCGAAATGATGTGATGGACTTTGGTGATCCCCCGTGGAGGGTCTCACTATCCCTGGGGAGTGGGTGGTGGGTGGGTTGGGAGGTCAGTGATAAGCATGGGGAGATGGGAGGGAGAGGGAATGGGGGATGGATATGTAATAGGAGTGTTTCTAAAAATAAAAAAACTAAACACACACACACACACACAAAATGAGGGCAGCAGGTGCCCTCCTCTAGTACTCTCTGCCTATTCCTTTGAGGAAGGGTCTCTCCCTGAACCTGGATCTTATATTTTCTCAGCTAGGCTGGAAGTCGGAAAGCTCAGCAATCCTCCTGTCTCTACCCCCTCACACCTGAAGTTGCAGACATACAAAGGATTCTGGGATTCAAACTGCAGTTTTCATGACAGTACTAGCCGGTGCTCTGAACTGCTGGGCCATCTCCCTAGACCTGTTCACCTTGGTGTTTTGAAACAGTGTCTCTCACTGACCCTGGAGCTCACAGTACGTCGTCTAGACTGAGTGGTCAGTGAGCCCCCAGAGGTCCTCCTGTCCCCATCTCTCCAGCACTCCCCATTATAAGCTTTTGTCACCAAGTCTGGAAGTTTTGGATGGGTTCTGGGGGTTGAACTCAGATCCTCATCTTGCACAGAAAGCACAACCTTTTTTGCCCAGCTACATCTGGAGCTTTTAGCACTCAGATGTATCCGCACTTGCAGCACCTTGTCAGTCACCTTACAATTTTCTGCCTGTCTACTTGTCCCTGTTTATTCATGCCTATTCCCCTCAGTCTCCGTACTCACTGGTTTCTATCTTGGAAACAGCATCTGAGCCTTGTGACCTCACTTTTCTGACAGAACTGAGAATAGCTGACTTTTTTTTCTGCTCAGCTTTTCCCCTTGTTCTGCTATTTTAATTCCATATTTCTTTTGTTCCTAGGCAAAGGAGGTGCCTGAGGAGGCTGAGATGGTATTCACAGCACGTGGCCGAGCTACAGTGACCTTCCAGACAAGCGGAGACTCATGGCGGGAGCAGAAGGAGAAGCGAGCGGCCATGATGGTGGGGATCTTGATCGGTGTGTTTGTGCTGTGTTGGATCCCCTTCTTCCTGACAGAGCTCATCAGCCCACTCTGTGCCTGTAGCCTGCCACCCATCTGGAAAAGCATATTCCTGTGGCTTGGGTATTCCAACTCCTTCTTCAACCCCTTGATTTACACAGCCTTTAATAAGAACTACAATAATGCCTTCAAGAGCCTCTTCACTAAGCAGAGATAAGAAGGGCTGGGGGACACAGGGGAAGACCAGGGAAGGGCAAGGGGATTTGTAACTCCCATTTCACCAGAGACCTGGGGCCTTCTCTCCACCACACACTAATGACACTTCTAAAGTTATACCATTGGGCCTGGAATGTGGATGAGTTCTCATGAAGGGTGACATCTGTTTGGCAAACACGCCCATGCCTTCTACAGAAGGGCACAACAGACAGTACTAGTGGAGTGTGGTACATGTCTACACTAGGCAGAAGCCCTGCCAACCCCTTACAGGATGTATTTTAGGCATTTCTGGTAATGCATTGGACTTGACCTGTGACAAAGCTGATTTGCTTTTGTTTTAATACTATGTTCCTCAGTGAGGGTCTCTCAGGGCTTTCCTGAGGCTGTCTCCTTGACACAGCTTCTCCCCTACCCTTAATCCACCAGAGGAGTCTACCTTTATTAGCTTCTTACATACATATCCTCCACAAGGTGACGATTCTCAGTTTGCAAACTGATGAACCTCACCTGAAACCTTGTTAAAAAGTGTTCCAAGCAGGTGTCTTCAAGACGGCTCAGTGCCACCAAGCTTGGTGACCTGCTTTTAACCCTTGAGACCCACACAGTGAAAGGAAAGAGAGAAAGCTGTCTCTGGATATGTGTCAGCTGCCTTCTCCCCCATGTGCACACAAAATAAACAGTGCGTATCATTTAAAAATGGAAAAAGTGTCCAGTAATTCACAGACTGAGCCAGACTCTCAAAGAGGCCTGGTGGTCTAGTACTGCAGTGTCTCAGTGGTTTTTCTGTTTTATTTTTGTTGTCATTATTTTGAGACAGGGTCTCCTATGTAGCCCTGACTGGGCTGGGACTCAATATGTTACCAAGTTGGCCTCTAACTAAAGGGATTCACCTGCCTTTACCCCCTGAGTGCTGGGACTAAAGATGAGCATATCATCATGCCCAGCTTTTATTATTTGTTTGTTTGTTTTTTAACAAGTAATTAGTCCATGTGAGATACTCCTGGGTGCTTACATTACTCTTCAAAGTTTTGTTTTTCTAAGATTTGCTTTTATTTTTACTGATGTGTATATGTGTGTATATACTGGTATCTGCAGGGACCAGAAGAGGGTGTCAGATCCCCTGGAGCTGGAGTTACACAGTTCTAAGCTGCCCCATGTGGATGCTGGGAACTGAACTCTGGTCCTCTGCAAGAACAATAGAACTTTTAACTGCTGAGCCATCTCTCTAGCTCCTTCCCTTACTCTTTAGAGCAATTAAATGGGCATTTCTGGGGATGATCCAGAGAGCAGGACTCCCTGAAGCTTCTCACGTGGCCTGCTGTGAAGTCTCTTCTATCACAGGGAGGGACAACTGTGAGAAGCTGCTGATGCATGTATGCCTGCAGACACACACACACACACACACACACACACACACACACACTGTGTGTGTACACCTAAGTGTGCTTGAGTGAGGGTGGAGTACTACTATTAAGACATTTAAATGCCATATTCTGCAGGTCTTTGAAGTGTTTGAAGACCAAATATCCATGTCTGACTAACCTCATAGGTATAAGAAGCATGGGTAACTACAATCTGTAATTCTCAGAAATATAGTTGCTCAATGGCTGAAGCTTCCCAACATAATTTAGCAAGGATAATGACTTCAGTGTATATATATGACAGAGATATAACTGAAATATCTTGATTAGAGGTAGAACTGTAAAGTGCAATATGATAAAGTATCCTAAGTTGTATCAATATACAATGGGCACCTTATGTGTGCATAAGTGAGTGTGTGTGTGTGTGTGTGTGTGTGTGTGTAAGCAATAAAATACCCCTGAGGCATTCCTTTCTTGGCACACTATCAATTTATTTATGGTGCCTACTCCAACATCGGGAGTGTGCCGCTCACTGTAGACTCATAACCCATACCAACAAAACCTCTATATCATACAAATCCTTTTGGCTGAAAGACACTAAGGGTCATAGTCAGATGCGCAGCTACAAGACTCTGGGTGGCCCATAGAACAGACCTTTGCCACCTTGCTCAGATACCTTGGCCTGTGTGGGCCTTTCCAGCTCTGGGTTGTCTTCTTAGTCTCATGGGTGGGGACACAGTGTGTTCTCAAGAGAGAGCAAGTGGATGAGCCACTCGCATTAAGTCTGCTGATGCCCCAGGGACAGAAGCCCAAAGTGGGGACAGAGAAGTGGATATTAGGAGGGAAGGAAATAAGAGCTGGGGAAAAGGCTCAGGAGGCAAAAAATGCTCACTCTGAACTCCTGAGGACTTGAGTCTAAACTGCCAGAACCTAAATAAGGCAGAACACAGAAGTGTGTGTCTGTATTCCCAATGTTCCTATGGTGACCGGGGGCAATGACGGGGAATCCCTGCAAGCTTTTAGATCAGCTAACCTGGAGTATGAGGCAATGAACAAGAGCCTTTGCCCCAAGCAAGACTGAAGGTAGGAGTGTAGTACTCACCTACTTTATTATTATAGCAGTCTAGTAATTTGGAAGCCTGTATCTGTCCTCACCTTCTCGCAGTCAATCATCTCCAGAGGAAGCCCCATTAGAGCTGCTTCCCTCTCACAATCCTCCAATGGCTCCTCACACAGGTGCTCAAATGCACCTGGATGTGTGCTTAGGCAGTCTTTTTACTCACGATCCCCTCTGCTCAGAATTGCCACCAGGAATCCATGTGACTGTGTCCCCAGTGGGTGGCTGAGGCCTTCTCTAGCTTTTCAGTGTAACGATGTGGCCACCACCAAACCCAGTCCTCCGGGACCCTCTTCCTTGTTTGAACCAGCATATTGAAGCAGCTGATGTGATGATGTTCTTGTGTGCCTCCTCCCCACTCCAGTCCCTCTGGGAAGACAGGTTCTCTTGTCTGCTCTATTCATTATTGTACCAGTGCCTGACACTGTTGGTTGAATGTATCCGTGAACAATGAAGATTCTCACCAAGCAGGCACCCCAAGGCAAATGATCCCCCTGGTTTGGTTCAGAAGTTTACCACACTTCCAGGAATCATGCTTTTCCGCCAGTATCAAGATGTCTCTGCCCAGAATCACAATGGCTGATGCTACTTGAGCTCTGTCTTTTCTTCTACTGGTTGGAAGAACGGGAAGGGTAGCAGGAGCTCTTGATAGCTCTCTTGCTGATGTAGCCACGGAGCCTGTCCTTGATGGGGGTGTGTTAGCAGTATCCCTCAACACATCACAATTGGCCTGGACATCTGTTTATAAATCAGTTCAGGAAGTAGAGGATTTCCCCGCTTTAGAACAGCGGTAGTTGGGCTAGAGATGGTTGAGGTTAAGAGTGATTGCTGCTCTTGGAGAGGACCTGAGTTCCATCTCTAGCATGCATGTCAAGAGGCTGATGAATACTTGTAACTCCAACTCCAGGGATACCTGATGTCTTCTTCTGGCTTTCACAGGCACCTGCACTCACATGTGTGGGAACATGCAGTGTTTGCACACCCCTCCCCTCACTTAATAGACATCACGTGGTTCCTTCTCTGGGGGATTCGATGGCTAATGTTAATTGTCAGTTTGATGGGATTCAGAATAGTCATGGGAATAAAACCCTAGGAATTTTATGTGATGGAGTTTCTAGATTAGGTTAACAGATGTGGGAAACCCACCCTGAGCATGGATGGCATCATGGACTGGGATCTCAGACTGAATAAAAAAAGAGAATGTGAGCTGAGTAATGGAATTCTTTCTGTGCTTCCTGTTGGTGGGTACAATGGAACCAGACACTTCCAAAGTTCCCATTGCTGTGCCTCCCACCACGATGGGCTGTATCCTTGAACTGTGAGCCAAAATACACCCCCCCAAGCTGCTTTTGTCAGGTATCTAATCACAACCACAAGAAAGATAACTAATGCACTGGGGCTGGACAAAGCACAGTCCAGCTGCTCTTCTACTTTGCCTTTGGTTGCTGTGATAAACACTGGGAGCAAAAGCAACTTGGGGAACAAAGGTTTACTTCACTTTTACTTCTAGGTAACATCTGTATTGTTAGTGAGGGAAGGCAGGGCAGGCTCTGAAGCAGAAGCCACAGAGGAACATTGCTTACTGGCTCCTCCCTGGCACGTATTCAGGTAGTTTTATATATGGACCAGCTTGCTTAGGGATAGAGCTGCCCATAGTTAGCTGAGCTCTCCAATATCAATCATCCATCAAGACCATCCTTTACAGACACAGACACAGGCCAGCCTGAGACAATTCTTCATCTGAATCTCCCTTTCCAGATGACTCTAGGTTTGTGTCAAATTGAACAATAAGAACTAACAGGTAAGAAAAAGGGGGTGAAAAGAGCACCCATAGAAGGTTCCAGGTAAACTAGGCATGAAGGATGTTAATTGTTCAGAGGTGCTGTCCCTGTCTTTTGTACTGCAAGTGTCATCAGGAAGGTTATAATGTGATTCTCATGAGATACAGGCAACTCTAGAGCAGCTCCAGCTCATTCCCCTGTCCCTGTTAAACATACACATAAGAGTAGAACCAGCCCCACCCCCCAGTCCTCTGAAGTGCTTCCACCAGAAAGGCCAGAAAGGCCAACCCATCATAGTGGCCCAGTGCCGAAGACCTAAGCAAATGACTCTAGCTGCCTGTACACACACACACACACACACACACACACACACACACACACACACACACACACACACACACACACACAGGGATTCGAATAGTTTACAGGCTGTGGTTCAGGTAGTCCATCAATGACTGTCTATGAATCTAGTAGTTGTTTAGTCTGCGAGGCTGGATGTCTCAGCTGGTCTTTAGTGTATTCCAGAATCCCAAGGAAATAGCCCGTAATGCCTGTGAAGGAATACTTTGACACTGAGATGACAGTGAGATCAAGCAGGTACACGGGGTGGGGGTGGATGCCTCCTTCTGTGTCCTTTATATAGGCTGCCAGCAGAGAGTGTGGTCCAGATTAAGGGGGATCTTCCCACCTCAAAGATCTGGGTTAGAAGTAGGTCTTCCCACTTTAAGTGATTTAATTAAGAAAAAGTCCCTCACAGATGTGCCCAATTGTTTGGGTTTTAGTTAATGCCAGATGTGGCCAAGTTGACAACCAAGAACAGCATCACACTGCTGACCCCAGTGCTTTGCTTTTGTTAAGAAAACAAATTAGCTGGGCATGGTGGTGCTCACCTTTAATCCCAGCACTCAGGAGGCAGAGGCAGGTGGATGTTTGAGTTCGAGGCCAGCCTGGTCTACAAAGTGTGTTCCAGGTCAGTCAGAGCTACACAGAGAAACCCTGTCTGGAAAAAAAATTAAAACCAAAAAACCAACCCCCCAACCCAAATACCCAAACATATTGATGAGGGGGAGGTGGAGAGGGAAGGGATGATGTAGCTCATTTGGTAGAATGTTCGCCTATCAGACAAGAAGCCCTGGGTTCAATCCCAGTTCTGCATAAACTGGGTGTGGTGACACCTGTAATCCCAGCACTGGGAGGTGGAGGCCAGAGGATCAGAGTCTCAAGTTCACCCTTGCTAAACAGAGTTTGAGGCCAGTCTTGGATACATGAGACCCTGCCTCAATACCATGTGTCCACCCCCACCCTGAAAAAAAGAAAGAAGGGAGGGACAGAGGGGGGAGGGAAGAAGAAAGCAATGGAAGTGGAATCTTCTCCCATGATTTTTTAAAAAATGAAACCAAATTAAACTTCAAAAACTATTTATTTCTGAATAGATAATGCATGTACATGGTACAAAATTCCAGAATACAAAAGACAAGTGGTGAAAAGTCATTCCCACCTTCTTCCAAGAGGCAACCAAGGTTGCTAGCCTACAGGGACACTCTAGGCATGGGCAGGCTGACACATCACAAGCATTTGTGTGAGTATATGCACACACATATATGCATACACACACCTACAACACACGTATTTGTCTCTATTCCAAACACTAGCATTTCATGCATGCTTTCTTCTCCCGCTTAACCATGTGGCTCCAAGATCTGTGAACATTCCCCAGCAATACATACCGCAGATCTATTCTCTTAACTGTCTGCAAAATGCCCCATTGTAGAGATGGGCCATGCTTTTTCACCCCTGTTCTGAATTAATGATGGTTTCTAACTTTTTGTTATTACAAACATTGCTTTAATAAAAGTTTCTGTATATAAGAAAAGTTCCTAGACATGGCACTGCTGGTTCAAAAGGCTTGGGCTTGTGATACACATATTCAATTGTTCTCCAAGGAGGCTGTAGGCTTATAGCTCTGCCATCACTGTGTGGGGTGCTGCCGCCGCCCACAGTTGTAGGGCACCACTCATTTTCTTGGATTCATGTGGCTAAGATTCATCTGCCATATTTGAAGGAAGAACATACACATGATCCTATCTGACTTAATGTGCCCTCCCTGCCACAGTACTGAACATCTTGGCTAAAAGTTGGAAACTTCTGGAAAACGCTTTCCACTCTACCCTTCAAGGTTAGCGACTAAGGAACACACTCCTTAGAGAACTTCTCTAATGCTGCTGACTAGAACAGCCCTACTGTGTCAACCTGGGCATGGATTAGGTTAAATCTGTATTTTGCTACTAAAGGATGTAAAGACACAGTTTGGGGAACTGACTTAGCCAAGTGGAATGTTCTCACCGCCTGAGGAACCACAGTGAGGTGGGCAAGGTCCCTGCTTCTGCTGCCCTTCCACATTTCAGAGGGAAGATGCAGACCCTGAAAAGGACTTGGAGCCTTCAGCAGTGCCATGCGTCATTAGGACAGACAACAGGGATGTGGTGGGTGGACTGTAATATGACCAGGAAGCCAATATAAAAGGGAACACACAAGTGATCATTGAAAGCCACTGCCCAAAATCAGAGAGGACAGAATCCTAGTCAGAGGGCAAATGAGGAAAATATCCATGAAGGGTGAGCGTGGTCCATTTAGGAAACTGATACAGGATGATGAGGATACAGGAGTAACTCCCCATGGTGTCAAACACACTGCAGATTACGTACTAACACCCTGCTCATGATCTTATACATCACATTTATTCTGAGAAGATGGAAAAACATGCATTACTTTTTTGTATATGCATGTTCTATATGTGTATGGTGTGTGTGTGTGTGTGTGTGCATGTATAAGCCTGTGTATCTGAAGGCCAGAGGTCAATTCAGAGGTCTTCTTGATTGCTCTCTACCTTATTTTATGAGACAGGTTTCCTACTGAATCTGATGTTTACCAATTCAGCTAGTCTGGCTGGTCAGTGAGGCCCAGAGATCCTTCTGTCTCTGCCTCTCTAGTGCTGGGAATGTAGGAGCATATGGCTATGCCTGGCTTTTTATATGGTTGCTGGGGATCCTAACTCAGGTCCTCATGCTTGCAAGGCAAGCACTTTACTGGCTAAGCCATCTCCCCAGTTCTCTGTTGCTTTTTATGTACAATTTCGGCCTGCTGTCGCTGCCGCTAGAAGGGAGAGCATGGCTGACTCTAAGATGCATCTCGTAAGGCTCTTCCTCTGGCCATGCTCAGCTGCAAGAACAGACAATGGCACCCATGTCACTCTTCATTGTACTGCTCTGCATTCGGGTGTTCTTTTTCTTGGTGACAAACCCTGGAAAATGAACACATCACACAACACTCCCTGACAGTATTTCTCAGAGCATATTTCAATTCAACCGCCTGAACCTTCATAAGTCTCGGTCGCCGTTAGAAGTTATTGCTAGGAATGCTCGGTCCCCTTAAACTGACCATCCATCACCTGGGGAGGCAGAAGGAATGCAGAATGTACAGGCTGCAGGTCAGGCTGGGTGTTCCAGATACTGCTTCAAGTAGTGTCTACTTTACTCAAGATAGACAAGATGAGTCTGTCAAAGTGACAATCCATGGGAATGGCACTTTGTGAGGTAGTAGGAGGGCTGTTGGAGGACCTGCCCCATGTTTTCCTCAAGGTTTTGAGAGGTTTCCAGGGACAGTTGGGAGAGGAAAGGCCCTTCCTGGTGACACCAGTCTGTGTCTTCACTGTTCCTGAACCAAGGGCTACGACCCCACACCCATCCTCAAGATCAGGAGCTTATGCCCAACATGGACTCTGCTTCAGTAGAAAACACACCACCCTTTGGATTCAGTTGGCAGCTGTTCTATGGTACTATGTGCTGCTGGCTGACTAATATTGAACATGGGGGAATAACAGGGTATCCCCACATCATCCTAGACCTTTCACTACCACCTTATTCCTGTCCAGCTCACAGCTGCTCTGAGCTTGATCATAACCAGAGCACCCCAAGTTACTCCATGAGAAGCAAGTGGAAGTGAAGGCAGCTCCTGACCTGGAGACTGCTCCTAAGAATGCATGGCACCAGGCGCCAGCCCTGTGAACAGTCTCACTGCTCTGAATCGGGTTTCTCTTAAAGTGTACACAGAAAAAAAAAAAAGTCACTTACAGATGTTTCTCCACTGTCTTAGATTCTGGTAAAAGCCACTAGGCTCAGAACACAATGCTATACACCACATCTGGGCACAGAAGACACTGCCCTGGTAGGTCCCTCCCTTCCACCTCTCCAGGTAGATTCTGTAATAACCAAGGCCCTCAGGAAATCTCTTCAGCCTACTTCATGATGGGAATTACCCACAAAGGTGCTGTCCTGTGTTTCAGGATGTTAGAAGCAAATGTCAGATTCTTAGTGTTGGCTTCTGTAGCATAATTCAAAGAGGGTTCAATTGACCACCAGAACTAGATGGTTCTAGAACTAGACACTACTACTTTAGTAGTAGGACATAGAGAAATCAAAATAGTTCTGAGCTAGAAGCTCCCTCCCTATTGGCTAGCTTTCATAGTGGCAGGTACTATACAACAGCTGTGGGGAGGGAGTCATCAGCAGTCTTACCAGCTATGAACTTGCACACTACAATGCCAACCAGCCAGGCAAGAGGTGAGCACTGGTATAAGAGTAGCATGCCTGTCATGGGGTACCAGCTGTATTTTGTTCAGATCTGTGGCCTCCTCCTCAGGAGGGAGTTCATACCTGGTACTGTAGATCTAGTAACACGAACTTCTCATCACCTATATTAAGCCATGTGGATTAAAAAATGGGACAAGGTATCTACTAATTTCTCTCTACCAAGTGTTACCAACCTTTCAGTATTTTAAAAGGATACTGTCATCTATCAAAGTTTACACAGAGTACACAGTGTAATAGAGTTTAAAAAAACAGAGGGGAAAGAACCTCAGTGTTTTAAATTACTTTACAATTTTGTGTTGGGTCACATTCACAGCTATCCTTGGCTACAGGCAGCCTGTGGTTGAATAGGCTTACAACTATACCAAAAGGAACTCCCCAGAAACAATACCAAATAAAGGTTTCCATTTCCAAAACCAATTCTGGTTGTTTTAGATCAGTTATTCCATACTTCCCTCCCAGACACAGATAGTGGACTCCAGAAACCTTGACCCTCACCTGCTCCCACATCCCTTTCTACACCTGTGGTCCAGCACTGACATTAGCGTGAATGAGCTTCTTCTCGAGACAAGACAGACAGATGGCCCTCTCCTCTGAACTGTAATAGCTCTAATACAGTCAAGATGCCATCTTCCCGCTCAGGGCACTACTTTACTTTTATTAACATCATTATCATTTTACAAGGATTTACTTCAGTAGAGCTTTTTCACAATGTTTCTGTGCCCATAGGTCCCAGTGAGGTAGAGGTGCACACATAGCTCACTAGGAGGTGTGCTGGCACAGGGGAGTGATGCTTGTTCCTACCCAGCTCACCACAGCTCAGGGACCCTGGTTCAGGAACCCATGACACTATTAAGCCTGCATGGGAAACAAAGTCTGATGTAGTCCAGGCTGGCTTCCAGCTTGCTGTTTGGCCTTGATTTCCGGATCCTCCTGACTCTACTTCCTGAAAGCTAGGATCACAAGTATGCTCTACCATTCCTGGTTTACGTGATGCACTCCGGCAACTGGGCCCTAGCACCTCTTTCCTCTAAGTCTGTGTGACTCATGCCTCTTAATCACACACATTAGGAAACAAAAAATGAACCGTGCTTCTGTGACTGCCCAATGCCCCACCTGTCTCACGTAGTTATGCTTCTGTCAAATGGCCACAACCTGCTGCTCAGATCATGTGTGTGCCAAACTGATGCGGAATGGAGCACAAACCTCACACTGGGGCTTACTGAGCATGGCCCAGTTGCTGGATTCCTGATGGCTGCAGGGAGTACTCTGCAATTGCTTTGGCCTGTTCTTTCCAGAGTCTAAAACCAAAGTGTTAGGGGCTACTAAAGGCCCTCCCTCCCATCTCAGCTAACATCCTACTCCCTTTAGATCTAGCTCAAATGCTGTTTCCTCCATGGAGTCCTTGTGTCCCCATGCACAAACACACTTTGCCTCCATGCTCAGAACCTGGTGTCTTTCCCCACGTCTGCCCCAACAGTACCGAACAGTATCCTTAGACCCTGACAACGGCAGTGTAGGAACATGGACCCATCTGGGTATGGAAAACTTCAATTCTTATTGAAGTGCCCCCAGTGGAAGGGCATTTGCATCAAGTGAACCTGGGTGGTTTGCAGGATTAAAGGAATGACACTGAGTCACACTGACAGCTATCCTTGACCACATGCAGCCCGAGGGCTGGACACACCTACAGCCATGCCAAAGGAACCACTTGAGAGGCATGGCTCCAGATGAAGGGTTCCCATTTCCAAAACCCATCATAGTTACTTTATATCAGTCTTCTCAACACAGACAGGTGAACTCTCGTAAACCCAAACCTCACCTGCTTCCATCTCTATACCTGTGGGTAATTGCTCTGCATGTCAGCCTAGCCTACAGTCTGTATGCACTGTGGGAAGCCAGAACAAAAGGCACAACGGTAGGTGCACGGCCAAAGCCAGCAACATGAATGGGCTGGTTGCTCACTCAGCAGCCTTCTGAAACATTACAAGGGACGAGCTTAGGGGTCAGGTGGGCTGAATCTGTTCTCTGGCCCCTGCTATGTGTCAGAGGAGAAGGGACAATGCTCTCTCTTCTGCTACATTTACCTCAGGGCCCATTTTTCAGCACTGCTCAGTTAATACTTGCTGAACATAAGCTTTTTATTCTCAGGGCCCATACAAATCCATGTACCTTCATAAATGCAGTGTTACTGGAGAAGAAAGTTGAACGGACAGAGTGAATGAGCATTGCCCCTGTTTCTTCATAGGGTTCAGGTGTCAGCCAAGCCATGGTGTCACTCTGAGTCCACCAGCTGTAGCCAGGAGAGATGGAAGGAAACAAATAGGAGAAAGAAAACATCCATCCAGAGACTTGAAGTCAATCTTCCTGCAGCATCTCTCCAACATCACTTCCAGAACCGTTTCAGGATCCTGTAGTCTATACATGCCATTTAAAACATTTCAACAACATACGGAAATGGAGATGGGTGTTCAGGAGGCCTTGGCTTTGATCTTGGACAGCAGTAGCTCATTCTTTCGGCCCTCCTGGAAGAGCAGAGTAAGAGAGAAACAATGGCTGTTAGTCACTGGTACTCATTGTGGGGTTTCCAAAGATGCCCCGACCTTCTCTCCAGTCTTAGTAACTTCCCCCCCTCACTTTAAGACAAGAGACTCACATAGCCTTGATTGGTCTTGAACTGTCTACGAAGCGAAACATGACCCTGAACCTCTGATGCTCCTGCCTCCACCCCCTGAGTACCAGGATGGCAGGTATGTTCTGGACTGCCAAGCAAGCACTCTACGACTGACTTACACTCTTGCCCCTTAGTAGCCATTTTCTGACAAGTCAGTCTCCTGGCATGAAGTCACCAGCACAGTGACACTCCCTGGTGACCTACTGACTTGTGTCAAGACAGATGTGATGAAGCCTCTGGGCTGAAGACAGGGACCAGGCACTGTCATTCCTACAGACAGAACTTTCTAAAATCTCCAAGGGGCAGAAGCAGAAAGCAGACACTTACCTGCCAGTCTGCTTGGGAAGGTAAGAGGAGAGAAGGGGCCTTGGAGACTGTGCCCCACAAAGTGAGCAGGGTACCCTAGAGTACCTGCAGGAGGCAAAACCCTGAGAGGTTCTAACAGCGAAGATGCTGAGTATTCTCAGCCTTAAGAAGCAAGTGCACGGAAGCCACGATGAGAGGTGTTCATGAAGGGTACTTCCTTCTCTAATAACGAGCTGTATAAGGTTTATGACTGAACTCTTTGAGTGCCATCACTGACGGATGTCATTGGCTCCATTCCCTGCCAATGGTGTCCAGTGTCCTGAGAAACCACTTACCCTTCTGTTAAATTCTAAAACTGTTCACCTGAAAGCTCAAGACTCTTTGGTTGGCAAACCCCCAACAACCCAGGTCCTTCCCAAAGCTTCCTCATGGCTCTAACCAAAAGGGAGCTGAGGGGCTGGGGAGGTGGCTCAGTGCGTAAGTGTGTCAGCTGAGCAAGTACACGGACAGAGTCTGAATCCCCATCACCTACACAAAAAGATGGACACCACTGTGCACATGCCTGTAACCCTGGTGCTGTGGGTATGGAGACAGGACTGGTGGGACTTCCTGGCCACCAGTCCGGCTCTAGACCCAGTGAGAGGCCTTGTCTCAAGAGAATACAGCAGAAGGACAATAGAGCAGACATCTACTATCCTCTGGTCTCTGCATGGACATGCATGAACATGTTCTTGCACACACATGTGCACCACACAAGTAATCCACATCAGTCGCTGGACCCTTCCCAAGCCTCAGGACCTTGGCTGCTCCCTCATGTGCTCTTCTCTCCCCACAGCTTAACTCAGGCATTGTCTACCTTCTTTTTAAAATTATATTTTCTACTTACTTACTTTGCATATGTGAGGTTAGTTCTCTCCTTCCACCATGTGGGTACGGAAGCCAAGCCATCAAGCTTGGTAGACAGCACTTTTACTCACTAAGCTGTCTTGCTGGCCCTACCTGTCTGTTTCCTCCCTGTGGGTTCTGGGAATCAAAAAGTATTCCTGCTTTCACAGCAAGCACCTCACTGACTGAGCCCATGTCCAGCCAGCCCCCAGCTCTGGTCTTTAAGGGTGCGTCTTGAGCTGAGGTGACCGACTTGGCTACCATCTGTCCGGCCCGCACCCTCTCACCTCTTTGAATTCTTTCACAGTCTTGAAGTAGAGCCGCTGCTTCTCCAGAAGCTCCAGGTACTGATCATTCAGCTGGTCCCTTCGCATCTTGTTCTCCTGTTTCTTCTTCTCCATCTGTTGGAAACATTTTGGCGAATGAATGAATAGGCGTTCTGACAGCGACTACAACAGGCAGTCCTGGTTAACATTCACATCTGTTTCTTCCAGGCCTCCCTTCTAAACATAATTTCTCAGGTTGGCCTGTTTTCTTGAATGATGCCATCTGTAGGCTCTATAATATGTTCAGCAGCTCAGTTGCCATGGAATGCTAGATGAACATCATGTGTTTTGGAGGTATTCTCGACTGGGAACTACTTTGTGTCCTGAGGGTACTTGTGAGCATCTGCAAGAGGTTCTGAGAGCCACGACTGCAAGAAAGGAGTTGCTGGCACCACTGGAAGGGAGAAGCTGCTCACTACCCTGCAGGCACGGGACTGTGATAAGGAAAAGGGTCATTTGGCCCAGAATGTCGGCTGTGTTGTAAATGAGTAACCCTGATATATACGATCATTTATAATAAAACAATCCATCACCCTTTCATTGTAACTGTGTCACAGGATAAGGTACCTACAATTACCTTGACTATGCTATAGGTTGTTTCCAGGGTTCCGACCTTATACACAGACACTAGATGCTGACTTAAAGGAATTCTCCAAGGTAGCCAAAAGCTGGAGGAGGTTGCAAATGGAGCTTGGAGGACAACTTGTCTCTCATTCCATCATGTGTCTATACCCAGTGAGCCACCTAGTTGGCCCCACCTTGTTTTAGAGACAGGGACTCTCACTGGCCTGGAACTTGCCAAGTACCCCATCAAGCCCCAGGGGTGCTCCTGTCTTCAGGCCCCCAGCTCCAGGAATACAAGTATACACTAACACCACTACAATTGACATTATCTCAGTTCTAGGGACTAAACTGGGATCTCTTATTCACTTGATAAACAGCAAGGAACACCTACAGAGAGCCTAAAGTTAGCAGTGAACAGGCAAAGTCTTTGTTCTCACTGGGCACATGACCTGGTACCATGCCAAACCAACCAAACAAGCGTCTAACAAAGGAATGCCCATTACGGTTCTCAGCAGCACCAGTGCTGAGGGACATGGAATGGGTTGAGATGGGGAGGGCCCAAGGACTCTGTAATGCAGAAGGCTGGGGCGGGGGATGCTCTGAGGAGGGACGACTCAGCGGTGTTCTCTGAAGCTAAATGCTGAATACCAGCTAGCCAGGAGGTGAAGGTGGGGAGACTTCATGTGCAGAGCAGGCGCTGCCTGCACAAAGGAGTGATGGTGCGTGCACATGCGTGTGTGTATCTGTGCAAGCATCTATGTCCATGCGTGTACGTGCTTAGGCCACGTATTCCTCACCTAGATTTTTGAGCTCTCTACCTGGTCTAAGACTGGCTAAGTAGGCTTGGAAGGCTGGCCAGTGAGCCCCAGGGGTCTTCCATCTCTTTCCCTAGCATCAGAATCCTAAGCACATGCCACCATGCCCTGCTTCCTCCATGTGGAAGGAGTAGGCTTAGGGGTGAAATGTCATGAGATAAATCACTGGGGAGGAAGTATCTGGATGAGAGAGGATGGCTGCTAGGGAAGGACAGTTTGTTATCTGTGAAGTGGGGGAGGGGGAGGATTACTTATTTAATACTGTCTATGGGGGAGTAGCACTGTGCCTGGAAGCTATGATTAACAGCAGTGTGGAGGCCTACTCCATCAGTCTCATGTCTGGTGGGAGGTAATGCGGAAGGATGCAGTCAGGATGGAGAGTCTACGCCTAGGACCTTCTCACCACCACAGAGGCTGGGGTGCTGTAGAATAAGCTAGCTGACCTTCATCCTGTTTTGTTTAATGCCTTCGACGATTTGTTCCATCTGCCTTAAAAACTGGTCCCGGGAAGCAGGGGAGGCCATGGCTCTGAAAGAGAGAACAGCAGAGGTAGGTCCAGCACGTGGGGCTGTTAGAAAGGGGGGTGGGGGACATCAAGGAGTCAGCCCTGTGCCTCGACTGTGTCCCAACAGTCAACTAGGTGTTTGCAGGGCACAGCAGATCCAGAGGGCCACCAAGAATAGCAGGCAGTCAGTGTTCCAAACCTCTGATCTAATAACCGAATGGGAATCTTGTTTCCCATTCTCCCTATGCTCCTGTGGTAACGGCGTGCAGAAGGAGCTAGATGGAGACGGATTCTGAGGAAGACTATGCAGGCGAGAATATGCCATCCTTTAGTCTACATGGACAAGTATGTGTGCCTCTTTCAGCAGCAGTATACACACAGGTGACTTTGGGGGGCCCCCCTTCCAAGGACTTTTCAGCTTCTTCCTTTCAACTTTTAACCAGTCTGTATTTTCTCACCATAAAATGTGAACAAAAGTAATAAAAATGCCATTCGTCATGAATTATGGCATATACTGCTTAAGCAATGAATGCAGTTTTGTTTTTAGGACTCTGAAGACAGGGAGATAGCACCTGGAACTAGAGGACATGTTCTGAGTATTCATAGATCTGAACTGGACAGCCTAAAACTGTGCTGGAGACAGCATGTGGGAGCAGACTTCCTGGTGTGTCCGCTATACCTCTCTACCTATATCTAGCCCTGCAGAGGGACGGGAGCCAGGAGGATCAGAGCATCGGTGCTCACAGCACTGGGGATTCTCCCAGGGAGTGGGTTGACAGAGCAGAAGTGTCGTGGTTACTGGGGAGATAGCAATACCATCTGAGAAGGGCAACAGGACCCAAAGGCAGGTGCCATACCTGCACCTCCCAGGAAACTATGGCTGCTGGCTTTTTTTTCCCTTTAGAATTCTTCCCTTTGCATGCCATGGCTCTGAGGATCCAATTCAGGTTCAGGGTTGATGGAGAATGCCTTAACCCTGCTGTGTTTAAATTAGAACAGATGTAGAAACCCCTGATTCTGGAAGAACTTGGTCTTAAAATGTTTCTGGTCTCCTGCCAGGGAGGCGTGTGATAGAAAAAGGAAGCATGCTATTCTGGGAGCAAGCCTTAAGGTATCAGGAATGTGGGTAGCTAGTTCACCCTGGACACACTCCAAAGCTAGTGTTACCTGGTGGCCTTGCTATACGATTTATAGAGACAAAATCTCATGCAGCCTAGGTTGGCCTTGAACACACTCTGTAGGCAAGAATGACCTTAAAGTCTTGATTCTCCTATCCTCCCTTTCAAGTGCTGGGATTACAGACATGCACTAAGAGGTCAAAGGTTATGCAGTGCTAGGAACTGAGCCCAGGACTACATGCTCTGTACAAGCACTCCTCCACTGAGCTAAATCCCCACATTAGAGGATGTATTTTAACTTACAGAATACACCTGCAGGCATCCGTCTTTAGGGTCTGCCCACCTTGGTTTTTGAGGCAGGCTATCTCGATGGCCTGGAATTCACCAAATAGGCTAGGCTGGCTGGACACCGAACCCCAGGAACTGCCTCTCTCCACCCCCTCAGCTCTGGGATTACAATCATGACACTACACTTGATTTAGGGTTCCAGGATGGAACTTGGGTCCTTGTGCAAGGCAGGCTCTTTACCCATAGCCTTTTGGTTTGCAGAAGCTTCCGTTAAGGCATGCCTGCCCTGGGTGAAGTAGGGAAAGTGAGAGGCTCTCATCCCAGCCCCCGGCTATTGTGCCTCACCCAGTTCTCAGGCACACCGCAGCCAGGGAGGTGGGCACTGGTACTTACTGTGAAAAGTTCTCGTGGATTGAGTTAAGCAGGCTAATCTGGGGGAGTGAAAAAGAATCATATAAGTAAAAGGCGGTAAGTTTCCCACACTGCCGCAGTCAATGCTGGAAAGCGTGCCTGGGACTGGGGGAATGCCACCGGAAGGAATGCAATAGCTGTCGAGTAGGTCAACGTAACGAGAGAGAAGAAATGAAAGAGTAACATGTGCTTGCCTGCGTAGTTTTCCTCTGGGAATCCATCCCTATCTACTTAAAGAAAGCTTTTCCCTAGGATGAGTGATCACAGCTCTTTCAAGGACCCGGCTGCCAGCTGAGAGGACTCCAGCGGCAGGGCTCTGTGGACTGACAGCACAAGTCATTTTTGTTTTCCCAAATGTCACTCTTTAGTTTGAGGCTCTGAGCCCAGGGTGGGTCAGGGGTGCTGAGCAGAGAAGATACTGCCTGTCTTCCACCGCCCCACTCCCAAGTCAACCAACATGGCCAGCCGCTAAGCGGTCCTGAGAGCTTCAGATTAAACATCCTTCACGGAACTGTTACCATGGAAACTGTCTCTGCTCTCACATCTGGACCCTCCATCTGCCCTTGCGAGGCATGCTGGGAAGAGCTCTGAGTCTCCCTGGCTGTGCACTATTTAACCTGCTGGCTCGTCCCTAATCAGTCATACCCAAACTTCAGACTCACAATATACAACATAAGGATGACCTCACCATACCTGGACTTCAGATTCACAATACACAACATAGGCATGGCATTCTTACCTCTAATACTTGGGAAAAAGTGTGGTTTTTTTGTTGTTGTTGTTTTCTCATGTGCTTTTGTGTTTCTATGTATACTTGCGTGTGGAAGCCAGAAGACAACCTCATCTGCCATTCCTCATGATGATATCCACCTGGTTTTTTAAACTAGGGTCTCTCACTGGCCTGAAGCTTATCAAGGAGGCCAGGATGGAGGTGGGACAGTGATCCCCAGCGATCTGTCTCTGCTTCCCCAGTGCTGAGATTATAAACATATTACCATGCCTGCTCTTTTGTTTCCATGTGGGTTCAGGGGACTGAACTCAGGACCTCATGTTTGGAAGGCAAGGGCTTTATGGATTAAGTCATCTTCTGAGCCCCTCATGATGGTGTTTCTCATATGATATACAGAACAGGTGAACGCCAGCTTCACTTCACTGCAGTCAACTTCCAGGCAATCTCCTGCTTTGCAGTGACAATCCCTGGCACTTGGTCCAGGAAGAGTCTCTCTACTTCCACTAAACCCCGGTAGGATGCAGGTCCATCTGAATCTTCTGGAGCTACTCTGCTGTCAGGGGCTCATCTGAATTATATAGTTAATTTCTTTCCATATAGGCTCTTACTCAGGCCAGTGTGACGGCTTAGTGTAAAGGTGCCTGCTGTCAACCCTGAAGACCTGAGTTCTATTCCTGGAGCCCACATGGTGTAAGGAGAAAACTGACTCCTATAAGCTGTCCTCTGAACTCCACACATGCAACCCCCACCCATGCAATAAATTTTAAAATGTGATAAAAAAAGAAACAAATAGTCAAACAAAGGCTCTCACCTCCTTTTCCAGATAAACTTTTCTGTCGTCCAGGGTGTTGTACAAAGTGAAGAACTGCTTGGTTTCCTTGTGCACCGCAGAAACTGCAAAAGAGATCAGCATTCCAGTGCACGAGCATCAGCTGACCACAGCAACCCAACCCGTGTAGCATGTGCCAGGGCCTCATGCACACTTAACTACCACAGCAGCCTGTCTCTGTGCCTACATGTCCGTACATGGTATGCGTGCATGCGGAGGTCTGAGGTTGACACTGGGCATCTTCCTCAATGCCTTTTCACCTTATTTTTGAGACAAGATCTTTCACTGAATCTGGAGCTCACTAAGCTAGGCTGGCTGTTCAGTAAGCGGCGGGGATCCACCTGTTTCCACCTCCCCAGTGTGTGTACCACCCACCGTGCCTGACTTTTTAAAAATGTGTGTATGGATGCTTTGTCTGCATGCATGCATGTGCATAACGTGTGTGTGCCTGGTGCCCACGGAGGGTGTTGGACCTCCTGGAACTGGAGTTACAGACATCTGTGAACTGTCATGTGGGTGGTAGGAATTTATCCTAGGCCCTCTGCAAAAACAAGTACACTAAACACTGAGCCATCTCCACAGATGTTCATTCGCCCTCCCTCCCTCCCTCCCTCCCTCCCTCCCTCCCTCCCTCCCTCCCTTCCTCCCTCCCTCCCTCCCTCCCTTCCTTTCTTTTTAAACAACGACATACTTCTCAGGAGACATATCAAACTCAGGTCCTCACGCTTGTTAAGGCAAGCACTTTATTAATTGAACCATCTCCCTAAGACCCAGGGAGGCTTTGAGCCTGACACGATGTAGTTACTGGACCGGCTGAGGGGAGACTGGTCCTGGATTATGGGAATATGATGCTCTAAAGCGACCCCGGTGTGACTCTGTGGAGCATGACTGAGGACCATCTGGAGATGCCGGTGTGGGGATGCTTGGTAAGAAACCGGAAAGAAGAGGGGCTCAGGTGACAGCACGGAGCCAGCTACCATGAGAGCTGGCCAGAGTTGGTTCCTGAGATCATGAACCCATCTATAGAGTGGACAGTCAGACCATAGGACAGCTCCCAGACCTGTTCAGCAGGCCCGGTGATGAGGTAAGGACCCTTTCAAGGTGGCATTTATGGACTGTGCTCTGGTCAATGCTGCACCATACTAAAGTGGATGGAGCCCCTTGCCTCCCATCCCGCCTGAGGCCCAATAGCCTGTGTTTGCTCAATGCACCTACTCTGACGGTAGAGTTCAATAAATCGCTTCTGATACTGTATCAGCTCGGCTCGACTGGGCACTTCGTCAATCTTGCGATGCAAAATCGCTATTTCCCGATTTCTTCGCGCCTAAATGTAAGGAGACAGGGAGAGAACACCAGGTGAAAGGACTCCTGCATTTGTCTGTGCCACATGTGCTGAGCCAGCCGCAAAGACACACATTTGGCCACTGGCTTGGGATCCTCACGTGGGATTGTGACCGGCTGTCCTGTTTTCGGACACGTTGGGGAGGCTGCTGACCAGAACCACAGAGTCAGGGTGACTTACCTGAGGACAGGCACTGGAAGGAGAGCCCCCGGTGACAGGTGCCATCTGAGGCTTCTCTAAAATGCATTCCCAGTTCCTCAGCCTACTCGGAAGCCCCTGACTGACCCCTCAAGCCCTTTCCCAGGCAGCCTGTCTTATCAGGTGTCCAGGACACAGCATGTGTGTTGGGGCCATGTCACAGAAGCAAGTCACTCAGCTTTCACATAGCTTATGTCGGAATCTCAGGACCTGGGCTGAGCATTGCTGTTCCCCTGAGCCCTTGTTCCTCCTCTCCGTGGCCCTCTGGCCTGCTTGTCTCAGCAGCCGGGACGGAAATCTAACTTCCAAGGAAACACAGCCTCTAGGCAGGAAACCCACTGCAGTAACCAAATCTTAAGTCCAATCTGTACATCTCTGGACAGAAGGGTACAGGATAAGGCTATACTCCTTGTAAGTGCTGGGTTTGACCTCTGTTCTCCCCAGGAATATTAGGGTACAATCATTCAAACTTCACATTTTTAAAAATTATGTTTGCTTATTTACTGTGCATGTGCCATGGTATGGGGTGGAATTCAGAGGACAACTTGTGGAAGTTCTCCTTCCACAATGGGTCTTCGGGATTGAAATCAGGTTGTAGAGGATAGAATCCACCTCTAGGGGGAGACATGCCCTTGTCTCCTCCCTTAAGGGTTTAGTGTAGAGGGACAGGGCAGGGACCAGGCCAGGAGACTGACTACCCTGTGATAAGGTAATTTTCCTTCCCAGAATTCCTGCTCCCTGGTATAGTCCCTATGAGCCACCACCAAGCTTGGCTGGGTCTGCGTGCTGTCTCTCTGAGTCCGGACTCAGAAGGACATAACTATTCTTTTTTTCTTTTCTCTGTCCTTTTCTTTTATATGCTGGTGGCAAGACCTAGCCACACTTTTTAAATGGTTAACTAATTCGACTGGCTTTTTTGCTTCTTCTAAAGCCTCCATCCCTACGGTGTGACTGACTCCCATGTTTACCATTATTCTCCTTCCAGGCGGCTCCAAGAGTCAGTCTGCCTGCCTTGGGGTTTTCCTTTTAAACTCTAATTAATAAATTGCCCCTGAGCTTCTGTTTGAGTGGGTTCTTAATGGAGCCAAGAACCCCATGAGGAAAACCCAATTTCCCTAGCATTGTATGATGAACCTGTTGAACTCCCCAAGATTTCTAGTAACGCTTCTCTCCTGCCTTCTAACTCTTTAGATAGGCAGAGGAAATGAAGCCATCCCTGCACCCCTGCACAGCGCAAACTCCATCTTAGTGGCAAGCATCTTTGCCCTAGAAGCCATCTCACACCAGCATGGATGACACCTTTTTTATTGTGACTTTATTTCTAGAATGTTCTCCGTGTGTGTGTGTGTGTGTGTGTGCGTGTGTGTGTGTGTGTGTGTGTGTGTGTGTGTGTGTGTGTGTAGGTGGATACACTGGCTGTTCAACATTTAAGTCTGCCCAAGCCTTTGGCTTGAAAGAACTCTTTCCCTGAGCTCACCACCACTCAGCCACCAGCCTCTTGCCTTTTTCTTTTGAAGCAGCCAGGGATGCTTAGTGCCTCCCTCCTTCAAGTCACAGACCCTGGGCCTGTCTCCACCTTGACAAATGTTACATTGGAACTTCCTCCCAGCTGGAACATCTCTTGGGGTAGGGGCTCAGGAGTCTCAGGAATTAAACTTCACACTCTGAGAAAGCTGAAATTTTTAAGACCCATAGGCCCCTCCCCAAGGAAGCAGCACACACCGGCTGGTGGAGGAGACTGACCAGCCCTAACACTTAGGAAAGGTGTCAAGGATACCCATCTCTCTAGCTGCCTGCAAATGGTGCAGGGAGCCTCAAGGCTGCATCTTGTTGTCACTTGTGTCAGGGGGGGGCTTTTTGGTGAGTAAGTCACCCTCACCATCACTCCTGTAAGTAATCCCAATAAACCCACTAAGGCCACTTTGTCAGGGGTCATCACTTTGATCTGTCCTGGGTTCCCTAACTGCAGGGATTAGGAGAGTATATCTTGTGTCTCACATGGCTTCAATGTCACTTCAGAAGTTTTCTGGGACACAGTGAACGAAGAAGTCTGAGGTTCTAGCTCCTCCAGTCCTCAACCATTTCCCATATATATTTTCTTTTTTCCTTTTATTGAAAGTAGATTCTTTTCTCACATAATATATCCTGATTATAGTTTCCTCTCCTCTTACTCCCCCCCCACCCTTCCCCTCTGGATCTATTCACCTTCTGTCTCTCATTACAAAAGAACAGAATAGCAACTAAACATGAAAAAGTAAAATAGAATAAGATGAAACAAAAACTACCATATCGAAGCTGGCTGTGGCACCTGGCTGTCTGCTCAGTCTCTGTGAGCAGCCCTTGGTTCATCTCCCTCCCCTCTCTTGTTCTTGCTTAACTTGCTCACTAGGGTTTAGACCTGGGTCTTGCCCACATGTCCACAGCGTTAGTCAGCATCCCCACACTGCAGAACAAGCTCTCCAGCCCAAACTCTTTTGAGTTGGAGCTGACGTGTGCACGTATTTTGTTCACATGTGGTGTATGAATGTTTCTGCTCGTGCTTGTGTACATAAATGCATGTGCACATGAAGACCTCAAGTTGATGGCAGGAGTCATCCTGTCATTCTGTTATAGGCCACTGTATCTACCTGGAATTTACATAGCTTCCAGGGATCTGATCTGGTCTCTACACTTGTGAGGCAAGTACTTTTTAAACTGCTGAACTGCAGAGCTGACTTCCAGCAAACCCCACTCCCCACCCAGCTGGGAGGGGCTTTCTGGGGGGAAGGGGTTTTGAGACAGGGTTTCTCTGTGGCTTTGGAGGCTATCCTGGAGCTAGTTTATAGATCAGGCTGGTCTCTAACTCACAGAGATCCTCCTGCCTCTGCCTCCCGAATGCTGGGATTAAAGGCGTGTGCCACCACCCCTTGGCCCAGCAGGGAGTTTACTAGTACTTTTCTTTATACTTCCACGTGGGTCCCTTCTCTTTTATGCCTGTTTCCCGATGATTTTCACGTGTAGATACCTTTGAGTCAGACACTTGAGCATCAACTTGATCCCCCTCACGTGCAGTCATCACTAAATTCCATTAGATACGGCACTTTACTTTGCCCAGCCAGTTCCAATCACAGATCTGGCTGCCTCTACCTAGGCCAGGTCCTCAGCAACCTACTGGCTTCATTGCAGCTCTCTTCTAGTTTGACCTCAGCCTCGCCTGAGTAGTGGTTTAAGTGGCACTGCCCACATATACAGCCTTGTACACTGGCACATACGGGAAGATCTTGGTCCTCAAACAACCAGTTCCCAGAGGGCAGATCACCCCAGTTCTTGTTACTGGGGCCAGATGCATGGCTGAATAAGTAGGAAGTAGCCAGTCAGGGTCTCCAAACAGCAGTAGGGCACAGACTGTATTAATTCTATGTATCTTTAAATATTTGCACTTGGTCTTGCTGAAGGCTGAGAAGCCATCTTTAAATATTTGAAAGGTAGTGATGCATGATGGTGCATATCTATAATCTCAGCACTTGGAGGACGGAGACAGGATTATCAGATGTTCAAGACCAGCTATGGCTACACAGAATTTGAGGCAGCTTGAGCTATAAGACTCCCTCTCAAAACACTAAAATGAAAATTAGAACAGTGATCTTGTATCGAGGACATATTTGACTCCTTTGAATTTAGCCAACTATCTCACAGAACAGTTAGGAGCCAGGAAGATGGGAATAACTCCTGGCAATTCTTGCCAAAGCTTGGCTTTCCCTCCCAAAGGAAAGAAAAGTATCTCAAACCAACATGGGACACAAGGCCAAGGTTCATTTGTGGGTTTAAATCCCCAAGAGTCAGGCGCTGGCAATATAATGGGCTTGGAAACATAGTGTTGACTGGTTAGGTTTGGAGCTGGCTCTACAACCTCTGCGCCCTGTGTGTGACACCCCTCTCTCAGATCCCAAGTTATTAAGTAGACCTGAACTTGAACCCTGCCCTGGGGACCTATGGAAGGATTGCCTTTGGAGAAACAGTCTATTTGAAGCATTTTTCGCCATTTTATGTGCTTAGGTGCTTTGCCTGCATGCATATGTATGCCCATGTATCATGTGGGTGCTTAGTGTCCCTGGAAGCCAGAGGAGGGTGCTGGATTCCCCAGAACTAGAGTCAGATGGTTGTGAACAGTCATGTGGGTGCTGGGAATTGAACCTGGGTCATCTGAAAGAGCAGCCAGCACTCTTAACTGCTGAGCCATCTCCTCAGCATCCCTTCCCAGGTTTATTTTCCTTTTTAATGACGTGTAGTTGTGTGTGCTTGTGTGGAGGCATGTGCATATGAGTGTAGATACCTGTGGGTTCAGAAAAGCGTGTCAGATCTCCTGGAACTAGAGTTAGAGGTGGTTGTGATTCAACTGGTGTGAGTTCTGGGAACAGAACTCGGGTCCTCTGCAAGAGCAGCAAGTGCTCTTAACTTCTTAGCCATCTCACTGGCCTCCAGAACCTATTTTTTTTCCATATAGAACATGAGGCTAATCATACCTACTTTGCATGCAAGGTGAAGTTCAACTCCAGATAGCAACAGACATCTGCGATGCTGTCGCAGCACCTCAGATCATGGCATGACTGGACACAAAGGCAGCAGTGAGCGGAGCCTGGTCACTCGAGTTCTTACACACCTAGACCTCCCGCTCAGTCAGGACCTTCCTATCAGTCAGACATCTCTGTGCACCACTGGTCCTTGCGGTCACCCACCTGTAGCAAGCGGATCTTGTACAGCTTCTCTTTTTCCATGTTGTACCGTCTGTCCAGGTCCTCCTAAGAGAGAGCAGGCCGCAGTTATCTAGAATCGAGCTTCTGTTCTCTGTCGGAGCCCTTGGAAGTTGAATATATCTAATCATGTCCTCTCAGCTTGAGCCTCAAGTCCCTTCTCTCAGATGGCCAAGTTTATACCCTCCCCCCTGTGAGACATTTCCACGAGGTGTCCTAACACCTCTTCTTCTGCCAGCATCCTGGCTGAATCGGTGTTCTTTTTAGAAGAAAATAAAGTATTTATCATTACCGGGTGTGTGTGTGTGTGGGGGGGTGCATGTGACACAGAGTGAATTATGGAGGTCAGAGGGCAACTTTGTGTGGAGTGGGCTCTGGGGATCGAACTCATGCCATCAGGCTTGCAAGGCAATACTTTATTCGTTAGCCCCTCCTATGGGCTTCTTCAGCCGCCTCCCCCGCAACTTGGAAGACTACAGCAAGAGGGAGACAACACACTGCCTTAAGAGTCTTTATCCTACATCTGTGTTTTCAGCTAACACTGGTCTTCTGTTTGTTTCTGCCTGAACCCAAGGTATCCAAAATGATAACCACTAATCCTACATGTCAATCTGAAACTTGCATCAATTAAAGTAAGGAAAAAGATCAGCCCCCAGTTTCAATAGCCATGCATTATGTGTGGGAAGATGCTTATGCAAACATTTTCGTTGTTACAGAAGCTTCTTTTGGGACAGAGCTAATGCACAGATGTGGCTCCATAGTGAGCCTAGACGTGGGAAAAGCAGCCGGATAGTCTGTTGTCTCAGAGAAAATCACAGAAGGAGCATACATGCACATGAACACACAGTAAATGCACAGTTAATTGGACAGGGCTCAGCTATAGGTGACACTAACATATTGCTGTAGGAGTCCCATGTCCAGTCTAACAGGTCATAAAGAACCACCCTAAGGGCCGTGTTCTTACCCGGTCCTCTTCCTTTCTCTTTATATGCAACAGGTATTGTTTTAACACATAACAAGGTTCAGCAAACTAGAGCACGCCACGGAGAGCCTATACGTTTGAGCCATGTCTGACTGCCTATTTCTGTAAACGGACTGAGTTGGGCTGGAATACAGTCATGTCCATTCATCTATAATACATGGGACATGATGTCATCACAACATTCATGTTTGAAAAATATGCAATCAAGTTACCAAAAAAACCCTCATAATATTGTAAGTTTATAACTGTGTTGAGCTGCAAGTGGGGACTCACTTGACACACAGCATGGTAACTAGAGCTGTGGCCTGCTGCAGTGCAGCTAACTAAGAAGGCAGCTTTTCCCTCTGCACCATGCCTCAGAGCTCAGAGCTCATGCGGCTGACACGGGCCTCTTCCATCTAAGGAAGGGAAGGTCGAAAATGGTACCTGCCCCCAGAAGGCGGCAGGAGAGGAGGTGCCGTACAGACTAGACAGTAGGCAGGAAAGCTGTGCAGGGAGAGCAGAAAGGAAGCTGACACATTCTCTGGGGACAATGCTGGCCCCAAGGGGCAGGGGATACTTACATTGTGAGTCATGGTGGGGGTCAGGGCACCCTGTGGCTCTCCATCGGAGACAGTCTGAAAGGATGCGAACAGGGTCAGCACCTTTGCTCAGTAGGGGAGCAGACACAAGTGATATTTATTTATTTATTTTTATTTTTTTATTTGAGACTGGGTTTCTCTGTATTGGTTTGGAGGATGTCGTGGAGCTCGCTCTGTAGATCAGGCTGGCCTTGAACTCACAGAGATCTGCTCATCTCTGCCTCCCAAGTGCTGGGATTAAAGGCGTGTGCCACCACTGCCTGGCTCTATTTATTTTTATTTTATGTGCACGGATGTTTCATCTGCATTGTATGCACCACTTATCAGATCAGATCCCCTAGAGCTGGAATTACAGAAGGCTGTGAGTTACCGCATGCGTGCTGGGAAGGGCATGAGTGTCCCTGCAAGAACAGTAAGTGCCCTTGACCACACAGCCATCTCTTCAGTCTCTCATGCTTGGCTTTTACACAGGTGCAGGGGACTCAACTCAGGTGCTCCTGCTCGTGCAGCAGGTGCTCTCATCCAGCGAGTCTCCCACCAACCCTGAGAACCGTACATTTGTAATCCTAGCTCAAGTAAGCTGGCAGTCCTTTTTGGGAGATGATTAATGGTGCTAAGAATATGGCTGTCTACTCCATCCAGGCTTGATGTAGCTGTTGCCGTCTTTAAATAGATTAGCTGGCAGGAGCAGCATAAGACCCTTTTAACAGCCCATCATGTAGGACAGAGAGAGGCTCATGAGAGCTGTTCCCTCCTCAATATATGTAAGAGGTAAGCTACTTATTAAAGTGAGTCTCTCAGTGGTGCTGCTGGCTTTAAGTTGCCAGGGACTCCCTTTGTGTAGTTGCCTGTGACACTCAAGCCCCTGTCTGTAACTAACCCCCAAAAATGTATTTTTGGTTCACCAAACTGAGCTTAGACCGAACCCTTCCTTTGGCCTGTCCGTGCCCTTTCTGTCTGGAAGCGAATGGAAGTTTCTTCATGTCTCCCAGGAAGAGTCATGGCACTGAACCGCTGCAATCTCTCCACGTCCCAGCCAGAGGGCAGCTGATGGCACTGAGCATTAATTGAAGCCCTTACCTTCTCACCCGGTGTTCTCTCAGCCTTCAGGGTCTCAATTTCCTGCTGTAGCCGAGCCATCTCCTCCTGGAAAAGCAAGGTGAACCTTTACAAAGCTCAGGTAAGCTACCAACTGGAGGGAACTGTTAACTTCTTCATGCGTGGTTTGTTTTTACCTTTGTGTTTGTGGGCATGTGTGTGAGCACATGCACGCATCTTGGTGTGTATTGCACGTGTGCACTCATGCTCTTATGTGCGCCACAGCATATGTGTAGAGGTCTGAGGACAACCTATGGAGGCTTTTTTAAAATTTCCACCATGTGCGTCCCAGGGACACAGCTCAGGTTCTCAGGCGTGGTGGCAAGCACCATTACCTGCTGAGCCATCTTGCCTGCCCAGTTTAACTATTCAATGGAGGCATTTCATCTTTACTTTCACTGGTGTCTGCCAGGACAAAAGCCAACAGGGAACCAGGTGCTCTGCTCCCGCTGGGAAGCTGGTTCCTTCCTGGGAGAGAGTTCTCTCCCAGGTTTGCAAGAGCAGAAAGCTCTTTACCCAGAGTCACCTCCTCAGCCAGTCAGCCTTTTACACTGCACTGGCTAGCATGGCCCAGCAGCACAGGGATGGGAAACCAACAGCGTCAGCGGAGCTCCTGCCTGTCCATCAGCACCACGCAGCACTTACCCGGCAGTGTGCTTTAAACTGCTGCTCCTGGCTTTTCAGGTTTTCATTCATGGCTACGAGTGCTCTTAGACTCTGTAGAATGCTGAGGAGGAAAGACCAACAGCTCAGGGAAGGCCATTACCATTAGATTTTAGGAACGGAGGGTAAAGTCACATCAAGAATACAAGGAGCGCCTTCTTAATTTCCTTTGGTTTCTCCCAGGGTATGATGGGAGTGCCACAAATGGTCATCATTTCCATTTCTGATTATGCATTTGGACCCTCAAGCCCGTGAGGAGAAAAAACCCACCCAGGATAGGATTCTAGAATGCAAATCTCAACTTTGGAAACATCAACGAGCTCCAGTGGTTCTCATCATTTATTCAATTGTACCCAGGATAAACACACTATCAATAACTCTGTGTGTGTGTGCGTGTGTGTGTATGGAGGCTAGCTCACAGTCTCAAATGTTGTTCTTCAGGTGCTAGCCTCTATTTTCCTTTAATTAAAACACATTTTATTAATTAGTTTATTTAATATGTGTGAGTGAGTGTCCTTGTGCAGCAGGTGTGGGGGCCAGAGGACAACTTGTGGGAGTCAGGTCTCTCCTTCTACCTTGTGGGTTCCTGGAGCTGCACTCAGGTCGCCTGGCTTCACAGTAAGCACTGCATCCCACAGAGCTATCCCAGCAGCTTGCCTCTCCTCGTGTTCTGAGACAGGGGTTCTCACTGGCTTGAGACTTACCAAGTACTTTGGCTTGGCAGGCTAGCAAGTGCCAGGGGTCTTGTCTCTGCCTCCTGGGCGCTAGGGTTACGATTGTGTACCACCATGCCCAGCCGTTTCAGGTTGGATCTGGGACATCAAACTTGGGTTCTCATGCTTAAAAAGCAAGCACTTGACCCACTAAGGCCGCAGCCCTGTTTCATTGTTTTAAAAACCAGAAACCACTGCTCGGATCTCAAGGAGAGCTGAAGGGAAGGTGGGTGACTCAGTGTGGTTCAAGAATCTCACTAGGGTAACTACTGGTCCCTTCTGGATGGCCATGTGACATTATCTGAATGAAAATGGAGCTCCAGCCCATGACCTCTGGCTATTCTGTAGCCGGTTTCCTCAACGTGCCGAAACCCCTTACCTCGGGTCAGCTTTGGCTTCCAATTTCTCCAGGGCTGCCTGCTCTTTGTCTAGCTTCTCACCATGACTCTTCAGCTGCAAGACAGGGCAGAGGCATCACTGGCTACAGAGAGTCAAAAGCAAGCAGGAGGGTGTGCCCCATGACCCACCTCCATTCCTGGCTTATTTGGGAGAGATGACCGAGCCCATTGGCTTTGGTTGTGCACTGAGAAAACAGATGAACCAGACAAATGGGATAGAAGGGGAGAGGCGGCGGGAGATCAGAATCAGAGTCTGCTAAATGGTGCACTGGTTATGGAAACACAATGGCTTCACGGCGCAGCAGAAAGAGTCAGGAGAGCCCACAGCAATGATGAGGACAATGGCCTTGCACGAGGAAAGTGGGTGGGGATAAAAGGTGACAGAGAAACTATCAGAATAGCACTGTCATGGCAGGGTTAAATCTTCCCAGCCTCTTGAATGGAGTACAGCTGGCTTTGTGTCAACTTGACACATACTAGAGTCATCTGAGAGGCCTCAGTTTAGAAAAGGCCTTCATAAGATCCAGCTGTGGGACATGTTCTTAATTAGTGATCAATGGGGGAAGGCCCAGTCCAAGGTTGGTGGTTCCATTCCAGGACTTTGGTCCCAGGTTGTATAAGAAAGCAGGATGAGCAAGTCATTGGAAGCAAGGCAGTAAGCAGCTCCCCTCCACGGCCTCTGCATCAGCTCCTGCCTCTGGGATCCCGCCCTGTCTCAACTTCCTTCAGTGATGAACAGCAATATGGAAGTGTAAGGGAAATAAGCCCCTTCCTCCCCAACATGCTTTTTGGCCCTGGCATATCATCACAGTAATAGAAATCCCAAGAACAATGGTTTTACCTTCTTTTGATTTAGCAAATGGAAAAATCTTTAAGAAAATGTAGATTTTAATGCATAGCGATGTACTTTTGTGCGTGTTATGTGAGTGTGCACTTGCTAGTGCGTGACATGACATGCATGTGGAAATGCAGATTTTAATGCAAAATAATATAATTCTGTGTGTGTTCTGTGAGTGTGCACTTGCTAGTGCGTGTGGAGGAGGGGCTGATGTCCAGGAGTTCCTCAGTTTTTGCTTCTTTAACTTTAGTTTTTGAGACCTGATCTATCGCTGAAATAGAAAGTCAAGGTACGGCTAGCCTATTTGGCCAGGGAGCCACTGGGATCTATCTATCTTTGAGTCCCAGGGCTGGGGTTACAAATGCCACCTCCACGCCAGGCTTTTATGTGGATGCTCAGGCTCTGCACACAGGTCCTTATCTCACACAGCTAGCGCTTTACCCATCCAGCCATCTCCCCAGTCCATCTGTTCACTTAAAGTATACTTTTTTTTTTTTTTTTGGTTTTTTGAGACAGGGTTTCTCTGTATTGTTTTGGAGGCTGTCCTGGAACTTACTCTGTAGACCAGACTGGCCTCGAACTCACAGAGATCCGCCTGCCTCTGCTGGGATTAAAGGTGTGCATCACCAATGCCCGGCCTAAAGTATACCTTTTATAGTGATCTAGAAAAAGGTCTAAAACCACGAATACAGCAAACTGGAAAAGCATCTCAAGAAAGATGAACATGTGGGCTGATGAGATGGCTCACTCGTGGCTCTTGCCACCAAGCCTGAAAATCTGAGTTCAGTCTTGGAATCCACACGGTGGCAGAGAACCAACTTCCACAAGTCGTCCTCTGACCTCCACAATGCACTGTGGCATACTAACCAGCCCAGCCCCATACACACACTAAATAAATATAGACTTTTCTTAGAGGAAATGTGCACAAGTATGCAGAATATAATTGCTATGTAATCATGAAACAGTCCTTAAAAGACTTAAAAGATCCTGCTTGTAACCACTACCCTGGAGAGGGTGGACAGATGGTGGGTTACAGGAGTCCACTTTTTGTGTTTGGTGAATTTTTGAACCATGTGAATATGTGGCTCATTCAAACAAAACAAGTTTCAAAAGTTCCCAGTTGAAAATGGCAGTATAGTCAGGTGTCACATCAAACCATCTCACCTAGAGTCTCAAAATAATCCAGGCTATGATGCTGGAACATGAAAGTGGGTTAACTCATGGGACAGGACAGAGGGCTGGCAGATGGGCCCAGATGGAAGACAGCTATGGAGAAGTAGCCAGCATAGGTGGGAAGACTGGCTTGTGGGGCTGAGGCCTGGATCAGAAGAGCGAGGTTGACAAAGCACTGAAGCCTGTTACACAGGAGAGCATCCGAGGGCCCCAGAGGACTGGCAAACAGCAAAGAGAATGCAAAGCTTCCCAGCTCTGAATATCTGTTGCCGTCAGCTGATTAACCACGTAGAAGGTAGCACCGTTCGAGAGAAACAGTGGAAGTGAGCTGTTTTGACGGCTAATACTGTCAACTTGACAGGAACTAGAATCACCCATGAGACAAGCTCTGGGCACACCTGTGACCCATCAGCCAGGTTAGGCCAGTCTATGGGCAAGCCTGTGAAGTTTTCTTCATTAGGGTCCCTGAGCTGAGATGACCCACTCTACAAGTGGGAGGCACCATCCCCAGGCTGGTGTCCTAATCTGCAGAAACTGAGACCATGAGCTAAGCACTGGTATTCATCTGTTTCCTGACTGTGTGTGCTGTGACAAGGGCCTGATGCCTTGCCATCTCCACCACAGGGGACTGCATTCTTCAAGAGTAAGCCAGACTAGAGCCATCCCTCTTTGAGCTGCTTTTTGTCAGGAGTTTAATCACAGTAACAAGTCAAGTAGCTATAGAGTGTACACAGTATTGAGAGATGGTGAGAGGAACCTTGAAACCAGATGAACATATAACCAAGAATCCTCAAACATTTGAAGACAGGAAAAAGATGGTGTATTAACTTCTAAACGAATCCTGACTAAAGAAATAGCTATAGAACAAGATACACTGTAGATACAGTGAGTCCCCATGGGGACCTGGGAAGACAAGGCTCATCTAAAAGGAACTGGGCTTCCATTTGGAGAATCAGAATTGGGACTGTACAGATTGTGACACAGATTAGAGCTGGTAGCCCATGTCACTGATACTACAGTCAGTCAGTGTCCTGGCTTTCCTGGGATGGCTGTGTGGCTGTCTCCATGTCACCTGACCTGTCTGCTACCTTCTATGCCCTGCTTCACTTAAGTTGGAAAAAAAAGTCTATTTTCTTCACATTAGTCTACTTTGGAAGAGCAGGCTTCGTAGAAATGAAGATTAGATCTGTGCTATGGGAGGGCCCAACGTGGTCATGTCTGACCAGTGCTGCTGGAGGGAGCGATGCTCTCATCGGCTGGTGTGAGGGAAGTTCCGTCCTCAGAGTCTGGTCCATCGCAGGGAAGGGGAGTTTCAGGGTGGTGCTGACCCGCACCGTCCGTGTACCCACACTGCTGTGATCTGACTTGGGAGAGGAGGCTGTGAGCCATAGGCCACAGTAAAGCGGGGGAGAAGAGACCTGCTTACCTCTGTCAGTGTCTTCTTCGTGTCACTGTACTTGGCTTGGAGGCTGGAATGATTCGTTTGCAGCTGTGAGAGAAAAAGGACATTTGCTTGAACGGCATCCTTTTCTTGGCCCAGACATCGATGGGATCCCCCTTTTACAATGAGGAGGCAGAAACCCAGAAAGGTTGAAACTGATTTAAACTGCAGGACTTTCATTTTTATTTTTTTTAACAGTTCTATATTTTGGTGCAAGGGTTCCACGTATAGTAAACATGGAGTCTACCACTGAACCACACCCATAAATCAGTACAGTTCCCTGGCCTGATGTCCCACACTGCAGAAAAGATAAAGTAAGCCACACCCATAAACCAATGTCGGGGCACCTTCCCAGCCCTAAGATCATATACTGCATGCCAGGCTTTCCACAGGGGTCTTGGAGAGCTGAGCTTAGGGTGTCATGCTTACAAGCAGGCCTTTACCAGCTGAGCCATGTCCCCAGCCTGCATGTAGGCTTTTATTGTCCACAGACTGTCCCTGAGTCATACATTCTGCCTTCGTTTTGGTCTGCTTTCCCGGGAGAATATATGGTTTTCCAAAAACAGTCCCACCTGTCACCAAGACCTATAAATGACTAATAGCTCTCTTAAAAAGATCATTTGGGGATGGTGGGATAGCTCAGGCAGTAAGGCACTTGCCACCCCAGGACCCATTTAGTAGAAGGGAAGAACTAACCCCAGCAAATTGTCTACTGACTTCCATGACATATGCACCCTGGCCTTAGAAATAAATGGGAAATAGTGGTTTGTTTCTCCCACTCCCTGCCATCACCAGCTTATCTAGTGCACCTGCCTCCTAAAGTCTGAGACTCCCCAGCCCTTCCTGCCCACAGACTGACAGGCAGTGGCATGCCACTGCCCTGCTGCAACCCCCTGTGGCTTCCACAGTCCTAACATGGAGCTGCTCTGTCCTCAGTTGCCCACTGCATACCTCACTCGAGCCTCCTCAACCATCTGACAGGAACTGGCCAACTCTTCCTCCCTTCATCTTTGCTTAAGCTGCTTCATAAGTCTCCACCTGGCTCCTCAACATCTCCACGCAGGCCTCCCGTTCAGTATGCCTGTTCAACTTTCCAGACTTAGTCAGCCTTGACCTTAGGCTCAGTAAGTTCTATTAGTCTCCCAGCTCCCCAGACCTCCCCAGTTAAGCTGTAACTAAAGGTGAGTGTGATGGATGTTTCATTTACTGCAGGTCTCCATTACACCTTAGGGTCCTTGCAGGCAGGACCCTTACCCATTCTTCATTCACCCCTACAGATTAGCTCAGCACTTAGCACACACAACACTATTCATTTGTGAAGGAACACCATTCTGGTCCTGTGTATTTTCCAATACACACAAAAGCACATGTACTGGTGTGTGTGTGTTTATATGCATGCAGGTTCCAGCAAAGGTCAGAAGAGAGGCTCAGACACCCCCCCCCCAGCTGTAGTTACAGCCAGTTGTGAGCTGCAAACGTGGGTGCTGGGAACCAGAACTCATGTCCTCGGCAAGAGCAACAAGAGCTCTTGGTGGTGGCCATCTCTCCTGCCCTGCCCTGTTTTCTCTGTGATGGGTTAATAAGCTTTGCCTATAAAGGACCAGGCAGTATGCAATTTAGGCTTTGTGGGCCATTTGGTCTCTACTACAAGTACTCAGCCCTGTTATAGTAGCTTGAAAGCAATCACAGAAAAATAGGAAAGCAAATGAGCTTTTCTGTGAAACTTTACTCATGGGGAGAGGGCTTATTGGAGAAAGTGCCTACAGACCAAGTCTGAAGACTGAACATTGGCTCCCCGGAATCCATGTGAAAAGCCAGATGAGTGTGGCAGCTTGCCTCCAATTCCAGTGCCGAGGAGGCAGAGACAAGGGGTATCCCTGGCAACTCAGCTAGCTAGACAAGTCAAGCTGGTTCAGAGAGACCTTGCCTCAGTAAATTCAGTGGACAGTGATTAAGGCAGTCACCCAGCAACAGCTTCTGGCTCCTTACATGCCCATCAGGCACGCGTATGCACACTTGCACACAAGTACCCCCACATACCCGCAAACACCCACACATGCCCACTTCATCCACATACACTTTACTAGACTGAAGTGAAGGCTGTGGTACGCCTGTGCTAGAGCCCCCTTTGACCAGTCACTACAGGTGCTTCATTCATTCATCTTCCCAACTTTCCCCTCTTGGAAGGAGCTTAACTCCAGTGGAATTATGAAAACACTCACCTCTTCCAGATGTTTGGTCTTTTGCAGAATCTGCTTATTCAAGGAAATGACTTTCCGCTGATGAAGTTGGGAAGTTCCTAATTTTTCTGGACTTTCTTCAGCAGACAGTTCAGATTGCTGTAGGAAAACCCAACACAGATAATGAACTCAGCCCCATTCTGGTTGTCCATCCCCTCAGTGTAAGTAAGGCAGTTCTGGGCAGCCAGTCTCACCCATGCAGGGTGTCTACAATGTCCTGTTCAGAACCAAAATCTAGGCAGGGAAAGTCTGATAGGATGACTGTGGCCCTGGTCAGCTGATGGGGAATGTTCTTCTGTGTATATGTTCCTCTTATTGGTTAATTAATAAGACACTGATTGGCTGATTGACCAGGCAGGAAGTGACGTAGTTGGGCAGAATCAGGATATAAGCAGGGACAAACAGGAAATAGCTCTCTTCTCTGGAGATGCTGAGCAGTCATCATGTAGCAGGCAAAGGAGTTGCAGGTCTGCCATTTTCCAGTAAGATGAGACCACGTGGAAATACTTAGATTAATAGAGATGGGTTAATAATTAAGACAGAGCTAGCCAATAAGAGGCCATAGCCAACGGCCAACAGCTTTATAACTAAGATAGCATCTGTGTGTGTATTTGGGGGCTCAAGGGTGGCGGGACCCAGGCTGGGGTCAAAGAACCACATGTAACAGTCAGAACTCTGCTTTGGAGCAGGGGAAAGCATGGGCATAGGTTGCCCAGCTAAGGTTATTACGAAACCATCCAGGCAACAGTGCCCATGGAGGGTCTTAGTGAGGGAACTCAGGAGGTCTTAGCAGTTTCCTTATGAGACCATCTGGAATCATCAAGAGTCACAAGCTGGAGCTGGCAAGATGGTTAAGTGGGTAAAAACATTTGCCACCATGCCTGATGAGTTAGCTCCCCCAGAGCTTTGGCTGGAGACTCCCATAGGTACAGGCTGTCCTCTAATCTCTACATATGTACAGTGGTAAATACATACAAACAGCCCACCATCACAAAAATAATGTAATAAAAATGAAAAAAGCTACAAACTTATTCACTTTCATTAAAGTTTTATAGATACACAGTAGCTAAGTCTAGTCATTTCTGAGCATGTATAATAAGCAGCAAATCCTCCTCCACTCCCCCTCCACAGACCACTCCCTCAACCATTTCTTACTTCTGTCCTTCTGTCTTAAAAGAAGACAGGCCCAAGAAGGAGAAAGTTGCCAAGAGAGGCCATGTATAAACCTCCGAAAATGGACAAGTGAGGAGAGGAATGGAGAAGGCTGTAAAAACTGGGTAAAGGAGAGATTTCCGGGTAGCGTCACAGGGTAAATGACTGACATTTTCTAGAAGGGTTAATGATGATTACTAAAGAATGATGCAAAAATGGAAGCAAGGGCTGGAGAGACAGCTCAGGGGTAAAGGTGCTCGCCACCAATTCCCCAGGCCCATCACGGGGAGGATGAGAACCTGCTCCCAAAAGTTGTCCTCTGACTTCCGTGAATGCACCCTACTCCTTCACCCCTGCCAGTTCCACAAATAAACAAATGTAATTTTTTAAAGGAGGGGAGTGGCTGGTATAGAAAGCTGATAGGAACTTTCGTCTCAATAATCCTGGTAGGGAGTGGAGGAGCCTGGATTGATGGCTCAGTCATTAAGAGCATGTACTGCTATTGCACAGGGCCCTGGTTCAGTTCTTAGCACCTAGATGGTGGCTCACAACTGTTTGTAACATCTGTTTGAGGGGCTCTGATGCTCTCCATCTTCTGGTCTCCACGGTTACCAGCACATACAACATGTGGTATATGTAGGCAAAAGCCCTCATCAATCTTTTTAAAAAAGGAACCTTGGGGGAAGTCCTGGGGAGAATAAACAGAAAGGTCTACCTTCATGTAATAGCAATCATTACAATAGGTAGCTTTATTGAATAGTCAGATGCCCCTCATAATCCCAAGACCAAGCTAATCATGGATTTCCAGACTAAATGTAGCAAACCTATAGGTAACTTACTGCCCCCACATGTTTCATCAGTGCTCGTGGGTTTGGAAGTCTCAAAAGTGCAGCACTGGGAAAGAGTTGGGAAAAAGGAGGGGAGAAGCTGCTATGTATCTTGGCTAAGGCTTTTCCTGAATAATTTACACCACTGTTGACAGACCATGAAAGTTTTTTTTGTCTATTTGTTTTGCTGGTTAATGATTGTGGAATTTGGGAACAGTGGGCTGGGTATGGGTGCAGGGAAGAGCCAGGAGCAACATTCTGCATGCTGTGGGCTGGCAGGCCAGAAAGGAAACATAAAACCCTTGGGGTTGGAGAGACAGCTTAGCAGTTAAGAGTGTGTATTGCTTTCATAAGCAACCAGAGTTCAGTTTCATCCCACAATTGTGTCCGACATCTCACAGCCATCGTTCACTCTCTCACCTGCATGCACATGTGTCTGTACACATCCTCATACACAATAAAAAAAAAAAAAGAAACAGAAAGCTAAACATTAGGTACCACAACCCAGAACCTTAGAAAATTCTCACTGCCATGCCCCTGTGTAACAGGGTCAACTGTCAACTGATAGGCTCTGGAACCACCTAGAAGGCAAGCCTCCAGGCACACTTGTGAGGGATTATGTTGACTGAGACCCACTAAAAGCAGGAGGTGCCATGGCGTGGGCTTGGGTCCTAGACTATGAAAAAGGGAAAAGCCAGCAGGGCACAAACACGCATGGCCTCTGCTGACTTTGGATGCTATGCTACCAGTTGCTCCAAGCCCCTGTTGCTTTGACTCTCCTGTCATGACAGACTGAAGGCTTTAATGTGGCCAGAATAAACCCTTCCCCCTGGAGTTGTCAAGGGCAGTTTATTGGTAACAGAGTAAAAACTAAGACACTTAGCTTGCTGAATTTCTGGAAACTGAGTTAACTTTTTAAGATTAATTTTGTATGCATTGAAGTACAACCTATAGCCTGGGGAAGGATAAACTCCTTCTGAAAACTACTTGAGGATAGAAGAAAAAGGACAGGTGGGAGGGAAGACTTCTCTAGCTTCAAATTACTCCAAAACCAGAGTTACTATGAACTCACTGTACTTTACCTACTTTGACTGGTCCATCCTCAACAACAGTATTAATTTGGGCCTGTTTGTAGCTTGCACTTCATTTCCAAATGAGATGCTAACATACAACTTAGTACCTGACACTGACCTCCAAAGCACCACAGGCAAAGCCTGAGAACACTTCATGCCATTATCAGAATTTTGTGTTGCTTGCAATCATTCATTACCCATTCATACACTGCCCCCCCCACCGCAGAGCTCTATGTTTGCCCAGGCTGCCTTGAACTGGCTTGGCAGCAGAGAATGACTTCCTGCCTCACCTCTCAAATGCTGGGATTACAGGAGTACACTACCATGCTTCATATATGCAGTACTGGAGAATCAAGTACAAGTTTTATTTGTGCTAGGCAAACATTCCATCAACTGAGTCACTCTTCACCCCGTGTGTGTGTGTGTGTGTGTGTGTGTGTGTGTGTGTGTATGTAACACAAGAGTCTCACTCTCTAACCCACGCTGTCTTCAGAACATTATGTAACCCAACTTGATTACATTTAGAATTAAGTAAAACCCAAGCATCTGGGAATACCCATGAGGCCTCTTTTCTTGATGGTATCATTTGGGGCCACGCCTTCTGGTGGCAGGCTGAAAAAGAACACAGAAGGCTTTTGCCTGCTTGTCTTCACTCTTCTCACTCTTGTTGGCAAGTTAATCTATTCTGTTCCTTCACTGGTATTAAGGCCTGCTTTGGAGGATTCTGATGTATGATGAAGATCAGCTGAGACATCCAGTCCAAGGGACTGAACAATACTGGAATTTTGGACTTTCCTTTGGAAGATAGCCATTGCTGGACTAGCCAGATCCCAGCCTGTGAGCCACTCTAGTAAACACATGCACGCATGCACGCACGCGCACACACACACACAGTCACACTCTCATTTCTGTTCCTCTACAGAATCTAGAATCTTGACTAATACACTTGGTAATGTCAGTGACTGAAACACAATAATTGACCCACTGTTTGGGAAAGTAAATTGAGGGAGCCCACCAGGATGTCAAGGAAGAATGGAAAAGACCTGTTTCCAATCCATTCTCTCACTGAGGATCATATAGAGAGAAAATGCATGCATACAGGAAAAACCCTGAAGGCTCTTAAAACCTTATTTCTTTATTAGAATATGCTCCAAGAAGCAAGGGCTTTCTAAACCTGTTAGTGTTAGGTAAAAACATGTTCTGTGGATTCTCTCTCGTGTGTTCATGTTTGTGTGGACATGTGCACCTGCGCATAAGGGTCACATGTAGGTGTGTGCATGTATATATTTGGAAGTCAGGGGTTAATTTTGGGGGTCTTCCTCAATTTTTCTCCACCTTATCTTTGGAGACAGGGTCTCTCACTGAACGTGGAGGTCCCTGATTCAGCTAGGTGGCTTGGTCAGTAGCCCTGGAGACCTCCCAGTCTCCAGCTTCCCATGATGGGATGATGGATGTGTACAGCTGCATCCCATGGAAGGCGAGGATCAACTCAGGTCCTCATGATTGTATGGTAAGCACTTTACCAATTGAGCCATCTCTCCAGCCCCTGCAGTTTCTTACATTTTCATTTATAAAGTATTAATTCATATTAATTAACTCAGGATTCTGAGGATCAGCTCCATGTTGATACATTTTTCTAAGTGAAATGACAAGTCCACATATGTGCAGGTCCACTATGCTTGCCTTGGAGCCTAGACGTGTGTTTCGGAAAGCTGTTTGTCCAGCTGAGAGTTTTTTGTTTTTTTGTTTTTTTAAAGCAGCTTCTTCTGGAGTGAAGATAGTTCCTAATCAAACATACTCTCCACTAAACAACCTAAAATTTTTATTACTTTCAAATTGTCCTCCTAACAGCCAGTAAAACCCAGACAGAAGGCAGAAACAGGTCTTTGGGACAGGGCAGCCCATCTGACAGTGGCTAATGGACAGTTACAGCAGAAGAGTAGGTGACGAGATGCTCTTTTAACAGTAGTACAAAGTAGGTCAGATGGAGAAGACAGAACAGGGTTCTCCACCCAACCCTCAACGGGAAAAATTTTAAATCCCAGGT